GTTTCTGTTGTGATGACCCCCTCTTCATTTCTGATTCAGTTTATTAGGCTTTTCTCTCTCTTTTCCCTTGTGATTCTTGCTTGTGGTTTATCGATCTTATTTATTTTTTCAAAGAACCAACTCTCGGTTTCATTGAACTTTTGAATTTTTTTTGAGATTCCAGCTCGTTAATTTCTGCTCTAAGTCTTATTATTTCTTTCTTTCTGCCTCATTTGGTCTTCTTTGGTTGGTTATTTTCTAAGATCTGGTTATAGATCAAGTCCCACTGTCAGCACACTTCTGAAAATCAGGTGTCTCCTTTAGCTTAGGTGCTCATATGGGCACCTGTTGCTGCACAGGGGTTCTTTCTGTTCAAGTTGTCTCCCAAACAAAACCCCTGCCACCCATCTACCTGTGGGGAGAGAGAGGAATCAATCCTTTTTGTTCTATTGTTTCCTTAACCAAAAATGTCTTCCTATTTTCTATTTTTAATTACTTTCATTAGATTGAATGCTGTGTGGTTAGATACAAATATGGTTGCTCCAAATTTTTATTATTTATTTTACTTCTATGACTGTTTTTCATTTTTTCCTAGAGTCTGTATTTATCTTATAGATGCAGGTATGTTTCCTGTAAGCAGCAAATAAGTAAATTTTCTTTTCTAATTTATCCAGTTACACTATGCCTTCTAATCAAGAGTTTATTTCATTGACATTAAGAGAGATTATTGATAATGAATGGCTGTATTGTATTTTTCCATGTGGGTTTAGTTATTTCTGCAATTAATCATTTGCTTATAATAAGCAACCTTTCAGTAATTTTGCAGAGTTGGGTTAGTTATAGCAAATGTCACTAGCTCTCATTTGTCTGAGAATGTTTTTAATCCCCCTCTCAACTCTAAATGGCAGCTTTGCAGCATAATGGATTCTAATTTTAAGAATTCTTCATTTCATTCTTTGAATATGCCATTCCACACTTTTGTTAATTTTACACTTTTATATTGGAAATCTGATGTGATTCTTATGTTTTTCTTCATATACTTGAGGTTTTTCTTCTTAAATGCTTAAAGAAGTCTGTCTCTCTTTTGCTTCTTATTATTTTGATTGCAATGCATCTTGCTGCTTGTTTGAATCTGTTGTTTTTTTTCTATTTCTTAGGCCAATAGAATCTTTTCAGAAGCTTCCCTCTAGAGACAGGGAAGTTCTAAACTATTATCTCTTAAATAAGTCATTCTTTTCATTTTTTCTTTATTCTCTCCTAGTATTACTATAATTTGGTGATTATTCTTCTTGATGTTATATATAAAGTATCTTCCATTCTCTTTCTGTCCTTCACTGTCACTTTTTTGCCTCTTCACTATTATTGATGACTAGTATTTTGTCTTCAAGTTTCCTGATATAGCACTATGCATTCAGAATTCTTTTACTGTTGACTTAATACTTCATCCTTTCTTTATTTTTTAAATATATAAATATTTAATTGGTTTTATAAATCTCTAGCAGTTATACAAGTCTCATTCTTGGTATAAATTTCAAGTAGATATACCACTACTAGCTCCTGATTACTAAGGAGAAAATTTTTATTTGAGTTATTCAAGTTGAACACATTTTAAAATGAAAAAATTCAGAAATTAGAAAATACTACATTCTTTAACTCTTTTTATTTTGTTTGCATTTATTGTTTCATGCTCTAAATCAATTCTTCTTTTCATTGATTGTTTTCTCTTTTAGTAATTCCTTTACTTTCATTTTCATTGCATGCAATATGAACTCAAGGTCTTCCTCCTCCAGGCTTGTGAATTTTGAGGCACTTGAAGACTTTCCTGGACTTCTGTCACATTCTGCCAATGCAGCTGTATTCCTTGGTTTCCCAATCATCTTGAATTGTGTGTTTCCTGAGAGATTAGCTTAGATTCATAACTTTATTCATTAAACTGTACTAATGGTTTAGTATTTATATGTATATTATTTTGTTTCTATTACCATGTAATAGTACTTCAGTGAGACGGAGGTATACCTCTAGTTTCTCCCTTTTTAGTTGACAGGGCTTTTATAGAGGTTTCTGATATTTAATTAACACCCGTTCTGATATTGAATTCCACCTGTTCATAGAGAGTGTTAGGTGGGGGAAGAAATGCAGTCACTTCAATGTGGTTATGTCTGCATGGTACTTGATACCCAATACAGGACAGAATGGATGAGCTCCCAGATCTCAAAATTTAACCTGGATTGGGGAGTTTTCATTTTCTGTGTCTGTCACAAGACCACTGATTATGTGTAGGGTGGAAAGAGGCTCAGAAAGGATATGAGGACACCAGAGGTTCTGGAGGTTGGGTGCTTCTTTTGTTTCTGGTATATTTTGTTTTCATATATTTGTATACAAAAATACAACTAATTTTTGAAAATAGATTTTGTAGTAAGATGCTTAATTGTATAAATTTATTGCTTTTAAGAATTTGGGGGCTATTTTTAGTTGATGAAGAAACCAAGAAGTTCTACATGGAGCTGGAGAAGTTCTATAAAGAATACCAAACCTTCTACAAGATCATTGTTGGATATTTTAATGCCAAGATAGGACCGAGAAGATCAGCCAATGAACTCCATATTGGGACCCATGGCCTAGAAAGGGAACAACAGGGTGAGAGACTGTCCGAGTTCATCACGTCGACCAAGACCATCCATGGTAACTCACAGTTCCAGAAGGCCAAATCTAAATATTGGGCATGGGAATATCCCGGTGGACGGTTCCACAATGAAATTGAACATATCATATTAAATTGATGGTTTTGCCTGACCGAGGACGCTGTTGTTCCAAAATTCCAAATGGGATTGGACCACCATCTCCTTCATGCAAAATTCTACTTCACAGAGCAAGGAGAAAGGGCTGCAAAGTTTAAGAAGAGAACTCCCAGAACAACCACCAACTGAAAGCTCTTTGACACTATTGCAGTAACATGGGAAGATGCCGTTGTTGACAACATTGATGAGGAATATGATTGACTGGTTCAGCACCTCCAAGATTGTGCATAGAATGCCAAGAAGAGATAGCCACAAAAAGATGCTTGTCTTCGAAAACTCTCAAGCTCATTCACCAATGTGGCTTGGTGCGAGCCTCAGGCAACCGCATGTGAATGTCAAAGCTCGCAAAGCAGTGCAGAAAAGCGATAAAGGAAGACCTCAAAGAGAGAAGAGTAGCAGTGCTGGCAGATGCGACAGAAGCCAGGAAAAGCATTTGCAATGCCTGCCTGTCCTTCGCCAACTACAAGACAAAGATGACTACCCTCTGAATTCATGATGGATCTATCACATCTTCCAGAAAGGCAATGGAGAAGATTATCCATGACTTCTACTCGGATATCTTCGATAGCCATGTCCACCTGCCCACATAGCAAATTCCACAGGATACAAATGTCGTTCCCAATGTTCTCCTTTTGAAATGCAATACACCATTTCATCAGTAAAAGAGCTATTAGCACCTGGCCCAGACCAGGTCACACCCAAACACCTGAAAATTCTGCTGTAAGTACTAATCAATACACTGGCTCGGCTCTTCAAATGTTAACTGTCTGAATGCATCCATCCCAATGGAAAACAAGCGGGACTGTACTACTGTAAAGCAGGGAGACATCCACGACATTGGCAACTATCGCCCTGTATGCCTGTTGTCTGTCGTCTACAAGCTGTTCACTAGAGTCATCCTGAATAGGATTGGCAGAACACTAGATGGAGGACAACCATGAGAGTAAGCCAGGTTCCGAAAAGTGTTCAACACGATCAACCATATCCACAAGATAACCAAGCTCATCGAGGCTTCTTGGGAGTTCAAGATGCTGCTCTGTCTAACGTTCATTGATTTAAAGAAGGCCTTTGATTCTGTTGAGACGGAAGAGGCCATCGAAGCCGTAGCCAAACAGGGCATTCAAACCCAGTACATCAGGATCCTCCGTGAGTTGTATTGTGGATTCACTACCAGGATCTCACCATTCTACAAGGAAGTGATCATCCATGTCGAGAAAGGTGTTCAGCAGGGTGATACCATTTCACCGAAACTCTTCAGTGCCACCCTCAAAAACATTATGCGATGACTGCAATGGGAAGGAATTGTAATGAATATAGATGCTCAGCAACTACACCACCTGCACTTCACTGTTAACATAGTTCTAATAACACCAAACATTAGCTAAAAGGCACAAATGCTGACCAATGTTGACCGTGAGTGTGGAAAGGTCGGACTACAGCTGAGTCTCACAAGACAATGTTTATGAGAAATTGATACTTTCCTGATGTTCCATTCGCTCTCAACGGAATAAACATTCCGAATGCAATAGTTATGTGTACCTAGGTCAAGAAGTCAACATGCCGAATGACCTGGCACCTGAATTGAGAAGGAGGGAGAGAATGGCTTAGAATGCCTTCAAGAGTGTCATGGAAATAGCTAGAGGATGAAGAACCTCAAGCTTTGGGCTCATCTCTTCGATTCTATTGCTCTTCCTGCAATAACATACACCTCAGAGACCTGGGCCCTATGAAAACAGAATGAGAATGCTATTTGGCTCTCCTAAAGAGGAATCGGAAGAGCTATGCTTGGAGTATCACGCTTTGTTTTTGGGATGACACCACGTTATGTTCAGTGGCTACTCCTAACTCTGTGCTTAGGGGTCACTGGGTCACTACTGGCAGTGCTCAGAGGACAATATATGGTGCTGAGGAATCAAATCAGTGTCAGTTGCATGCAAGGCATGAAATTATCTCCTATACTATCTCATGCCCATGGTCATGATTTTTAAATCTCATTTGTTATTGAGTAAATTCTGGATCAACATAGTGTTTCTGTCAAAATAGTAGGTTATTCCTAGTTAAGGGAGAAATAATCTCCGTGCCTGAATACAATAAAAACATAAGAAAGGCATATACCATGCTTTCAAAGGGAGCAGATGTATGAAACAATATAGTTTCTGGTTATAAGAAATACATGGTTTCAGAAACAATGACTATTACACACAGATGAAAAAAGAGTACAGTATACTTACCTGGCAGTGGAGATACCGTGATCATGAAGGTGATTATCCCAGGGCGTGGCTTATGCATTGTGTTCCAGATGTGCTGACCCCTGCGATTTCCACAAATGTGGCAAACTTAACTGCATCATTTGTGGTAGTTGTAGATTGTGTTCCTATTCTTGATTTTATTATCTCCTCCCAATCAACCAGACATGGGAGATGAACAGACAGTGAGTATATTGGGGGAAGAAGAACCCAATATTTTCTTTCAGACGTAATGCACAAAAACTCATAGCAGAGCTTTAATCCCATAACTCAAGGAAATCATAGAAGTTGTATACTGGAATAATACAAAATGTATTTCTTTATTCTGTACACAAAGAAAAAGGTTGCTAATTATCTGATTTACCAGCTCTTATTTAAATGACCTGGCAGTGGCTCTTTAATAGAAAAAGCACGAGTCAAATAGAAACCCAGTTTACATCTGCCAAAACCTGTGATCCCCAAGGGCCTGGAATCTAAGCAGCCTCTTCAATAGCTCAGCCAAGCATGAGCAAGAAAACTTCAGGCAGTGAGCTATACTCAGGTATTGATATATTATAGTTGGCACCTATGGAGAGATACTTGAAGTGAAAAATAAGATGCCATTTCAAATACATAAATACGTTCTGCTGGCAAAGTCTCTTTTGCTGAGAAATAGAAGAAAAAATCTTCTGATTCAAAATTCCTTTCCTATATCGAACTGATCTTGCCATCCCAAGGCAGTCATATTTCCCTTTATACAATATCTTGCAAATTTAATCCAGATATCTTTTAATTACCGCATTAAATTCTTCTCTATATTGAGATATTACAGCAAGTAAGTGTATTCAAAGTTTCATTTTTACTTAATGAAAGCAGGTAAAATGGACTATATGGAGGAAATTATTAGTAATGAATCTTGTGCAGAGTCATTCAGCTGAATAGAGAAGTTTAGGAACCTAATGGTGTTTTATTTCACAAATTCAAATTCTTGATGATAACAAGTAAGAAATTTGAAGAAATTCATGTCTTACATATTTCTTGTGCATATTCTTTGAAGACATTTATTCTTTGCATAAAATTAAATAAAATTACTTCTATTTCCTACACAAGAGATCTGATATTATGGAACAAAAAAGAAGCTATCTAATTGAACAAGAAAAATGTCTTTTGAAGAATTTAACTCTCTTTTTATTTTAAAAGAATACATTGGTTTTAAAGAAGAAACCAAAAAATAAAAATAAGTTAAAATGATTATTTTTTAATCATGCACTTTAATTACTTATCCACTTAATATGTATAAAACATTTCCTCAGTTCCTCTAAGGCCCAAATTTTATGTTATTTTTTTAATATTTCATATATTACTCATCCTAATTTGTGCAATGAGCAGAAAATACAATTTGGAAATATTGAAATGGGGGATAGATGTGTTCTTATTAATGTGAGGACCTTGGTTACATATTAGGAAGATAATGTTTTCTCTCCTCAAACTCTTGTCTGAACAAATGAAAAATCAGTGGCATGCACATGTCTCTGTCACAGACAGCACATTTCTCATTGATAATGCCTTCTTTTTTTTTCAGCGAATAAGAGAAAGTTACTTGCCCCAAATGAATTTTGCTCTTTTGCTAAAGGATATTCTTCAACAGTGAAGTGCCAGTAGATATGTGAATGTATTTCTTTCAGTTCTAAGAATTTAGGACCTAGGTCCATGGGATAAAGGAAGATGATTTTTACCTCCCCTTGAAAATAACCTGTCATAAATAGTTTATTTAGATGTACAGTAGACTAAACATTATCCACAATAAAAACAAAGAGCTTTAGTTTTTGTGTCACCAGAATGTATTTTGTCTTCTCAAGATAGGGAAATTGAGCATGACACTTTTTTAACTTTTTTTTGAGTCACTGTGATATAGACCCTTACAGAGCCATTCATGATTGGATTTCCGTTATATAGTATTTCAACACCCATCCCTCCACCAGTATACATTTCTCAGCACCAGTGTCTCTAGGGTTATTCACGTAACCACCCATCACCCCACCCCCTTCCTGCCTCTATGGCAGGTGCTTTTCCTCTCTCTCTCTCTCTCTCTCTCTCCCTCTCTCTCTCTCGCACGCATGTGCTCTGTCGCTCTTTCTTTGTGTCTTTTTGGGCATTGTGGTTTGCAACATTGATACTGAAAGTTTATCAAGAATATCCCTTTACCTTCTTTTAACAACTATTGTTAAGCATGATCATTCCCAGCTATTATTCTCATGCCAGACTTGATCTTACCTACCCTCAGAGCCCCTACACACTTGTGGCTAGTTTCAACCATTGACCAGTCCTCCTAACCCCTGTTTTACCTTCCCAAGGATATCAGTCTCACACACTTATATATGTATAGATATGTCTCCTATATATAGATATATAGTAGCCATATGAATGCATTCATTTGTGGTATATGTATGTATGTATACACATATGTATATGTATTTACCACAAATGAATGTATATATACATATATATGTATACGTAAATATACATATACCACAAATGAATGTAGTCATATGTGTATATTTGTCCCTCCCCTTCTGACTCATATAACTCACTGTGATACTCTCCATGTCCATCCATTTATATGCAAATTTCATGACTTAATTTTTCCTAACAGCTTCATAGTATTCCATTGTGTAGATGTGCCATAGTTTCTTTGTTCATTCGACTGAGCTTGGGCACTCAGGTTGTTTCCAGATTCTGGCTATGATGAATAGTGCTGCATTGAACATAGGAGTGCAGATGATTTTTTTGCTGTGTGTTTTTGGGCCCCCAGGGTATATTTCCAGGAGTGGTGTTGCTGTACAAAATGGGAGATCAATTTTTAATTTTTTTGAGAAACGTCCATATTGTTTTCCAAAAAGGCTGGGACCAGTTGGCATTCCCACCAACAGTGAAGGAGAGTCCCCTTTTCCCCACATCCATGCCAACACTAGTTGTTGTTCTTTTGGATGTGTGCCAGTCTCTGTGATGTGAGATGATATCTCACTGTTGTTTTGATCTGCATCTCCTGATGATTAATGATGAAGAGCATTTTTTTCATGTGCCTTTTGGCCATTTGAATTTCTTCTTTGATAAAGTTTCTGTTCATTTCATCACCCCATTTTCTGATGGGATTTCTCTTTTTATTTTCCTCATAAGAGTTTAACCAATGCCTTGTATACCTTTGATATTAACCCCTTATGAGAAAGGTATTGGGTAAATATCCCTTCCTATTCTGTAAGCAGTCATTATATCCTGGTCACTGTTTATTTTGAGATGCACAAATTTCATAGTTTAAGATAGTTCTATTTGCTTGTCCTCGCTTCCACATTCTTTGTCAGTGGCATTTTCTCTTTGAATATATCTTTAGTTTCAATGTCGTGGAGGGTTTTTCCGACCTTTCCTTCAATGCACCTCATGGATTCTGGTTTGATATTGAGGTAGTTAATCCATTTTAATCTGACTTTTGTGCATGGTATTAGGAAGAGGTCTGAGCCATTTCTTTATTTTTGCACATAGCTGTCCAGTTTTTCCAGTACCACTTGCTTAAGAGACTTTCCTTGCTCCACTTTATATTTCTTTCTTCCACATAAAAGATTAAATGATTATATATTTGAAGATGTGTGTCAGGATATTCCACCATATTTCATTGGTCTGCAGATCTGTCTTTGTTCCAATACCATGCTGTTTAATTATTACTGCTTTGTAGTACAGTTTAACAATGGGGCAGGTGATGCATCCAGTATATTTTTACCCAAGAATTGTTTTAGCTATTTGTAGGGGCTTATTTTTTCATATTAATTTCAGGACTCTTTGATCAATTTCTTTGAAAAATGTCATGGGTATACTTATAGGGATCATATTGAATCTCTATAATGCTTTAGGGAGTATTGACATTTTGACAATGTTAATTCTCCCAATCAATGAGCAGGTATCTGTTTCAATTTCCTCATGTGCTCTTTTTTTTTCTTGAAGTAGAGCTTTGTAGTTTTCTTTGTAAATGTATTTTATCGCCTTATTTAAGCTGGTTATGAGGTAATTGATTTTCTGGACCATGATTGTAAATGGTATTGTGTCGTCATATCAGTCTCATCTCTCTCATTATTTGCATATAGGAAAGTCATGTACTTTTCTGTATTGATTTTATAGCCTATAAAATTTATTATACAGGCCTATTGTTTCTGGGAGCTCTTTGGTAGAGGCTTTAGGGTTCTCTAAGTATAGTATCATGTAACATGCAAATAGCAAGAGCTTGATTTCTTCCTTTCCTATATGTATGCCCTTAATATCTTTTACTTCCAAAACTGTTCTGGCAAATACTTCCAGTACTATATTGAGTAGAATTGGTGAGAGAGGGCATACTTGTCTTGTCCCTGAAATTGGAAGGAAGACTTTTATTTTTTTCCTCATTGAAAATGATGCTTGTTGTGGTCTTCTGGAAGATGGTTTTAACTATATTGAGAAAAGTTCCTTCAATTATCATTTTTCTGAGAGTTTTCTTTATAAACAAGTACTGGATCTTGTTAAATGTTTTCTCTGTGTCTATTGGCATGATCATATGTTTTTTAACTTTTCTTTATTGATATGATGAATTATGTTGATTGACTTGTGAATATTAAACCATCCTTGCATCCTTGGGATGAATTCCGCTTGGCATAATGTAAGATTTATTTTTGCACATAGCTGTCCAGTTATGATATGATCTTTTGATGACTTGGTCATGATATGATCTTTTTGATGAGTCATTATGTTCTATTTGGTAATATTTGGTTGAGGATATTTACATCATTTTCATCAAGGATATTAGCCTGTAATTTTCTTATCTTTTCTTTTCCTTTCTTTCTGTCTTTGTGTGTGTGTGTTTGTGTGTGTGTGTGTGTGTGTGTGTGTGTGTGTGTGTGTGGTATCTCTGTTTTTTGTATAATGGTGATATGTGCTTCATAGAAACTAGTAGTGTTTCTATTTCTTCACTTTCCTGGAAGAGCTAAAGCTAAAAAAAGGGTTGGCAATAGGTCCTCTTTAAATGTTTGAATTCCAGATTTTGGCTATTGTGAACAAGGCAGCAATGAACATAGAAGTGAAAATGTCATTTTGGCTATACTTTTTTGCCTCTCTGGGATATATTCCCAGGAGTGGTATTGC